CAGAAATGAATAAGTGACACGCAGGGATAGAGGGGATGTTTTTAACGCAATACAGCGTACTCCAAACTGGACATCAATGGATTGGGATCTATGTCAGCGACGAAATGTTAAAATGATTAATTCAAATATACTCAATTGACTCAAAATCTTTGACTTAAAAGAAGTGGACATGGTCCCTTACCCCCCTGCATCCAGGGTTTTTGTTTCAGAAGGTGTCAAGATGAAATAAATAGGTGTAATGTACATGTATATATGGCGATTTTATTGATCCGTTTAATATACTGCTCTCATAGTTTGTAGGCTGCGTGTAGTAATATATTCGTTCTTATATTTGCATTTTACTTTATATAGGTAAATTCCTGTTTGCATTGTACCTCACCACATCTTATAATGACTTCTCATTGCTTACCATAAAGCACACAAGTGCCCGCACGAGCACGTGCATATTCATGTTAGAATATGCACTGAGCAAAAATACAGACTTCACATTTCATATTTAAATATTTAAATTTCAAAGGCATGTCTAGGTAAAAAATGTATTATTTATTTCTAAAACGTGTACTTCATGTGAATTTTGAGAATAGATAATTGTGTAGTCAGGTGTGTCACTGAAGTAACTGCCTTATCTGAAGCACAGCACGTAATGTGAGGTGACTTTTTTGGGATGGTCCAAGAATGTATATGGCAGAGCATGGTTTATTTAAAAAAATATTGAAATTTTGCGTACAAATAGCGGATGTTACGGTGCATAAACTGAGCGAAGCAGTGTTACAGCACTGTTGCCCCTCGCCAGAATGGCACAAATCAGGCTGCCAGACAGATTGTGTCGCAAGGAGCGTATAACTCTGACACAGATGATAATTTGGAAAATATTGATATCGAATAACGCTTTTAATGGTCGTTGTATGAATAAGAATCAGCCATGTATTTTTGTTGCTGCATTAGGTGAATTCAATTAAAACCTGGTGTCAGAATTACACTGAATAGCTTAATTCAGCTATTAAAACAAGATTAAAATCCTTGTTTTCGTTGATAAGTTTGAAAAGCAGAGCAAATCAAAGAAAATTTATTTGGAAAAAATATTCTTTATTAAATGTCAAGTATGTTTAAACGCCCCACGCAATGCATAAAAGAGTTAAAAGAGTTAAATATGTATTAAATCATACAAAGTGAATTTTGTTGTTTTATTATTATTTATTTATTACTGACCGTATTATTATTAACACATTACATGTAACATAAATAATTCACATGGGGCGTTTATATTTTTGCTCAGTGTATACATGTATGGATTGCATTAGAGAAGCGCATGAATCAAAGTTCATTTTTATGTACAGACACAGATGTGTCTGTACATATAGCCATCATCTGCGTCTGTCGTCGCCGTCGTCGCCGTCGGTGCCGTCGTCGCCGTCGTCGCCGTGCACTTTTACCGATAACACGATAAGTGGAAAACCATTTTACCTTCTGACTTGAAACTTGCAGAACTGATGAATATTCATAATACGCAGGTCAAGTTCGAAAATCAGCATGATCGGGTCACTTTTAGGGAATTTATGCTGTTTTTTCACTTTTTTCAGCATATATGCAGCACCGATAACACGATAAGTGGAAAACCATTTTACCTTTTGACTTGAAACTTACAGAACTGATGAATATTCATAATACGCAGGTCAAGTTCGAAAATCAGCATGAT